GATATCAATTACAAATTATATTTTTTCCAAAGATGAAATATCAATGGAGTTATGATGTCTTGAGATAAAGCTACCCTTATTTGAGTTTAGTATATTAATTCTAAGTAAATTTTGTGACCGTAAACATTGATATTGTTACTTGTATGTTTTCGGGATCTATGGAGTTATCCATCTAAAGGTTGATTTAAAATTTATTATGGTTGTTTATGAGGTTTTAAATCAACATAAGGAGCAAAGTTTTATGGTCTTTCACTAAAGAAGATGAAATAAAATAGTATATTTTTATTTTGTCTTATTTTGTTATATTTGATTTGAGGCTAAATTGTGTGTGTATTTGAGCTTAGGTTGACATTTGGTTTTCGTCTAATTCGGCTGAAATTAACAAAATTTGTTTCTAGCTTAAAATCTAAATATTTGAACTTGGTTCTATGTTTTGTGAATGTAATTTGCAATGTGATAATGCTAAGCCTGATTTGGACATACTGGGCTTTGGCTATATAAAATTAGATTTAAAGTATAATTTGGTTTTATAGACTTTAAACTCAATTAAAGTTAATGGACACAAGTTCATATAAAGTTTCATATTTTGACTCAAATCAAAAGTTATATTTCGATATTATCTTATCTCAAAATATTTATAAGGTCTGGAGTTTGAGTTTGACTTTGTGGTAGACTCATAATGTGTTTCCGGAACGCTGGGCTAATTGTCCCATAAGGAGAGGATTTATATTGAAAATTTTCATATACAATCCATAAAGATTTTTTGAGTCAATTATGAGAAGCATATTAAGCATTTTCATGACTTGTGTGTTTGTTTTGGTTTATGCTTAAATTGTAAGTAATGTCATGTTGAGTTTATATATGCTTGAACTCATTTTTGGATAAGTAATGGATTGAATTTTAGCCCAATTTGGTAATAGTGGGCCATTAATTTCAAAAGAAAGTTTATTTGGGTTTGAACTTATTGAAATTAGATTTTAAGCCTAATTGGTTATATGGGCTTTCAATCTAAATAAAGTTGGAATTAAATTTATTTTAATTCATGAACTTTATATCCAATGTTTTCCTGGGGCGACGATTTAACGTTGTTCAATTGAGTAATAGAGAAATTCTTGGTCACTTTTTCTATGATGTTGTGATTTTCAATTTAGTCAATCAAAGAATCATGTTGTCATAGCAACCTCTGTGCATAGAGAATGACTTTATTGAAATCATTTTAATGTTGTGTGAAATTATTCATGTTATCTGTGCTCGACCCATAGGTAGACGCAGGTTGACCGAATAATAACGCACATATGGTGATAAGAGACTCATATGGCATTTACTCAATTGGTCTAGTAATTTTTAAATTAGTTAATCAAAACATCATGTTGCCATAGCAACCTCTGTGTGTGGAGAGCGACTTTATTGAGATTACATGGATGTTGTGTGAAATTATTTATGTGTTTTGTGATCAGCCCATAGGTAGACACAATTTGGCAAAATAACAACACACATGTGATGATAAGTATATGATAATTATTTGGATTGTTCATGTGAACATTAGTCAGTCCAAAGATAGACTTTTGTTTGACAGAACTTATTATCAATGCTTGATCGTTACAACAAGATTACCACCGCAGTTAATTTTTTGTCCATAGACGAGATTAATGTAGCACTATGGTGTCTTGCCACGTGTCCCTATTTGGTCTACTTACCCATATTTATTTAGGACATAAATTTCAGTGTGAGTACTTTGGTATTGTTCTCTATTTTTGACATCTGCTTACCTTAAGTCATTTGTCATTATGTATTTTTTCTATAAGATTTATGTAATATCCCGATATTTTGTCGGTATAAATTATGTTTTAAATTCCGATTTAGTAATGTTAACGTTTATTACTTTCGGAATTAATTATGTTCAGTCGAGATTACCGAAATTTATTTTCGACATACCGTTTACGTTCGGAATAATTTTGTTAATTAAGAATTATGTTTAATTAAATAATTAAACATAAAATAAGGGATTAATGTTAAATAATCCTATCAATTAGGACATGCATTAGGGCATAAGTAAACCATGTAGGAATTATAATTTCCAAACTTTTCTAAGTGTGTTCCTAGGGCTTAAGAAATCTTTCTCCTCCATCCATTAGCTATCACACGTGTTACTAGGAGGAGTAAAGTGTGGAGGTTAGTCATCAAGAAAGAATGCTAATTAAGAGCAAATGTCAAGTCCTTAAGAGGCCACGTCCTATGCACATCATCACCCCAAAATTGGGAGCTTTCCACGGACTTAGTATATATAAGCTTGTTCGGTCCGAATTTTTCCCAACTTTCCCTCTTATATATACAAGCCATAAACTCTTATATTCAGCAACAAATAGTTCAAGCAATTCTTCTAAGCTTCCATCGCATCACGCACGACAACATCATAGCATCGCACAGCACATACCGAAGCAACGCGTGGCGCACACGCGAGAACTAACGGAGGTCGCGATCGATTTGTAAATTCCGACAAGCACCTAAGAAGGTATCGTTATCCTCATCTTGTAATCATGTTAGTAAGACCATAATGGGGTTAAGTGTTCGAGTTATATTCAGAAATTGTAAGAAAGTTCATGCTATGTTCGGTTAATGTCATATTTAAGACAAGACCTCATTACGTCCGTTTCATTACGATAAGTCCCGAGTGTTTATTGGTTCTTTAGCCCTTATTAAGTGTATTATGTTCAGTCAAGTGGGATTTGTTGAATAAAGTAGAGGTTCGGTCGAGAATTTGGCTTAAAGCCAAGGACCGCACGTGGTGTGCGTGTCACGGCCGCTCCGTGTTATTTCTCATTATGGTCGAATTTGTTCGAGTAATTCATGTTTAAATAATCAAGTTAGGTCATTTTATGTTCAGTGGTTCATGATTGTTCAAGAGTTTTTCATGTTTGTTGAGGAGCTGGTCATAGGCCGTAAGCCTCGCACGTAGCGAGCGCACCGCGGCCATGTGTTTAGTCCAATTAAACAAGTTCAGCAATTTTCATATAAGTTCAGTATATTAGTCATGTTAAGTCATGTGATGTGGTTTGACGTTGAAGTTGTCGGAAAGAAATGCCGAACGGCCGGCAAGGGTCGGCCTTAGGCCGTACTGTCCGCACATAGCGGCAGCAACGCCCAGCCAAGCGCGCCAGCATGCGGTACCGCGCGTCAGTGCGCGACAGCGGGCCGCATGGTGCCAGTTAAGTTGACCCGTTGTCCGCAGCGTCGCCCAGTGCACGCCTGCGATCAGTTCATGCCCAGCGGCACCGCAGCAACGCGCCAGCGCGCGCCAGCACGCGTGACTGTGCGCAGTGCCGCG